GCAGGTTGAGGCTGCGGTGGCCGGGAGCAGCCACTGCACTCTAGTCTGGGTGACAGAGTGAGACTCCAACTCAAAAAAAAAAAGAATATTTTTTTGAGTTGGAGTCTATTCTGTCTCCCAGGCTGGAGGGCTGTGGCACACTGCTCATGGCCACCACAGCCTCAACCTGCTGGGCTCAGGCAATCCTTCCACCTCAGCCATACAAAGTAGCTGTAACTACAGGCACGTGCCACCATGCCCGGCTAATTTTTTGATTTATTGTGGAGATGAGGTCTTGCCAAGTTGCCCAGGCTGTTCTGGAACACGTGGGCTCAGGCAGTCCTCTCACCTTGGCCTCCCAAAGTACTGGGATTATAGGCATGAGCCACTGCGCCTGGCTAAATAAAAATGAATTATTAAGAAATGAAGTAAGGCTGGGTGTGGTGGCTCAAGCCTATAATCCCAGCACTTTGGAGGCCGAGGTGAGAGGACTGCCTGAGCCCGCGTGTTCCAGACCAGCCTGGGCAACATGGCGAGACTTCGTCTCTACAATAAATCAAAAAATTAGCTGGGCATGGTAGCGTGCTCGCCTGTAGTACTGGCTACTTGGAAGACTAAGGTGGAAGGATTGCCTGAGCCCAGCAGGTCAAGGCTGCGGTGACTGGGAGCATGCCACTGCCTTCCAGCCTGGGTGACAGAGTGAGACTCCAACTCAAAAAAAAAAAAGGTTGGAGATCCATTTCTGTAGTGATTGTGTTTGTTGTTTTTGGTTCTTTGAGAACAAAAATTTGAATGTAACCTTAAGTTCTGAGAATTAGAAAAGCCAGAAGAGTTGGTAGATGTGTAAGTTCAAGAGGGGATTCCCTAAGAACATATTTGTCAGGTGTATGTATCCCAGTCTGCAAAGAAAATGAGGAGCCACCAGACTTCTGAAAATTGGACCTACCTTCATTGTGCTCTTCTTGGCTGCCTTTGTTTAGTTTTTCGCTCCACTGAAGCCTGCTAGAATCACCATGGAATACAGTTCTAGTGGGAAGGCCACTGGAGAAGCTGACGTGCACTTCGATACCCATGAGGATGCTGTGGCAGCGATGCTCAAGGATCGGTCCCACGTTCGTAAGTACTGCCCATGGCTTTCGTTGTCTTCCCCTCCCCATATTTCCATCTTTATGACTGTTTAGTTCCCAAATATGAGTGAGAACATGCAGTGTTTGGTTTTCTGTTTCTGAGTCAGCTTACTTAGGATGATAATTTGTAGCTCCATGTTGCTGCAAAGGACATGATTTCATTCTTTATTATGCCTGCATAGTATTCCATGGTGTATATATACCACATTTCCTTTGTCCACCAATCAATTGATGGGCATTTAGGTTAATTCCATATATTTGCAGTTGTGAATTGTACTGCAGTGAACAATATGTGGGTGCTGGTGTCTTTTTTACATAGGAACCTTTGTTCTTACCATAGATAATTAGTAGTGGGATTGCTGGATCACATGGTAGATCTTCTTTTAGTTCTTTGAGTCACCTCCATGCCACTTTCCATGGAAGTTGTAGTAATTTACACTCCCAGCAACAGTGTATAAATGTTCCTTTTTCTCCACATCCGTGCTAGCATCTGTTGTTTTTTGCTTTTTTAATAATGGCCATTTTGACTGGTGTAAGATGGTATCTCATTGTGGTTTCAATTTGCATTTCCCTGATGATGAGCAGTGTTGAACATTTTTTCATATTTTTGTGGGCCATTTGTGTATTTTCTTTTGAGAGATGTCTGTTCATGTCGTTTGCCCACTTGTTAATGGGGTTATTTGCTTTTATCTTGCTGTTTTTTAAAAGTTTTTTTATAGATTCTGAATATTAGTCCTTTGTCAGATGTATGTATTGTTTATGAATATCTTCTCCCATTCTGTAGGTTGCCTGTTTGCTCTGTTCAATATTTCTTTCGCTGTGCAGAAGCTTTTTAGTTTAATTAAATCTCACTTTTTAATTTTTATTGTAGTTGCGTTTGCTTTTGGGGTTTTAGTCGTATTCTTTGACTAGGCCAATGTCCATAAGAGTTTTTCCTAGGTTTTCTTCCAGGAGTTTTATGGTTTCAGATCTGATGTTTTAAGTCTTAATCGATCTTGAGTTAATTTTTGTATATGGGGAGAGACAGGGATCAAGTTTCATTTTTCTGCATGTAGCTATACAATTTTCCCAGTACCTTTTGTTGAATAGGGTGTCCTTTGCCCAGTGTATGTTTTTGTTTGCTTTGTCAGAGATCAGTTGGCTGGTGGTATTTGGGTTTATTTTTGGATACTCTATTCTGTTCCATTGGTCCGTATGTCTGTTTTTGTACTAATACCATGCTGTTTTGGTTACTACAGCCTTGTAGTATAATTTAAAGTCAGGTAATGTGATACCTCCAGCTCTGTTCTTTTTGTTTAGAATTGCTTTGGCTATTCTGGCTCTTTTTTGGTTCCATATGAATTTTAGGGGATGGCTTTTTCTAATTCTGTGAAAAATGACACTGGTAGGTTGATAGAGATTGCATTGAATCTAGACTACCTTGAGTAATATGGTCTATTTATTTATTATTATTGTTTGTGTGTTGGAGTCTCACTCTATCGCCCAACTAGAGTGCGGTGGCACGCTTATGGCCACCGTAGCCATGACCTGCTGGGCTCTGGCGATCCTTCTGCCTCAGCCTTCCTGGTAGCTGGGACTACAGGCAAGTGCTACCATGCTCGGCTCTTTTTTTGTTTATTGTAGATACGAAGTCTCGCCAAGTTGCCTGGGTGGGTCTCGAACCCGCGGGCTCAGGCAATCCACTAGCCTCAGCCTCCCAAAGTGCTGGGATTCTGGGCTGAGCCACAGAGCCCGGCCTATCATTATTTTAATAATGTTGATTATTCGAATACAATCTGTAAGCATAGGATGTTTCTCCAATGTTTGTGTCCTCTGTGGTTTTTTAATTAGAGTTTTGTAGTTCTCCTTGTAGATGTCTTTCATCTCCTTGGTTAAATATATTCCAAGGTATTTTAGCTTTTTGGCTGCTATTGTAAATAGAATTGAGTTCTTGAATTGTTTCTCAGCCTGGTCGCTATTGGTGTATAGCAGTGCTACTGATTTGTGTGTGACCTGATTTGATTTGATTTGATTTTGTGACCTGAAACTTTACTGAATTCATTTATCAAGTCCAGGAGTCTTTAGGGTTCTCTAGTTATAAGATCATATCATTAGCATACAAAGATAGTTTGATTTCTTCTTTTACAATTTGGATACTCTTTATTTCTTATTCTTGCCTGATTGCTCTGGTGGTGAAAATTGGCATCCCTGCCTTGTACCAGTTCTGAGGGAGAATGTGTCCAACTTTTTTATGTTCAGGATGACATTGGCTGTGGCTGTTTTTTATTGTATATAACTTTTATTATTTTGAGGAATGTTCCCTCTATGCCTGTTTTGCTGAGGATTTTTATCATGAAGGGATGCTGGATTTTATGAAATGCCTTTTCTGTGTCGAAATGATCATGCAGTTTTTGTTTTACATTCTATTTATGTAGTGGATCATATTTGTTAACTTGTGTATGTTGAACTACCCTTGCATTCCTGGGATAAAACCCACTTGGTTATGGTGTGCTATTTTTTTATGTTCTGTTGAATTCAGTTTGAAAATATTGTGTTGAGGATTTTTGTGTCTGTGTTCATAAGGGATGTTGTCTGTGGTTTTCTTTTTTGTGTATTTTGCTGGCTTTGGAATCAGAGTGATACTGGCCTCATAGAATGAGTTAGGATTCCCTCCTCTTCAGTCTTGTGGAATAGCTTCAGCAAAATTGGTGCCAGTTCTTTGAAGGTCTGGCAGAATTCATACCCTAAAGACTATGATCTTTGGTATTTATTTCCTTCTGCTAGCCTTGGGTTTTGTTTGTTTTTCTGGTTCCTTGAGGTTGATGTTAGGTTGTCAGTATGTGATCTTCCAGTCTTATTAACATAGGCCTTAAGTGTTATAAATTTGTCTCTGAGCACAGCTTGGCTGTGTCTTGGAGGTTTTGATAACTTGTTTCATTGTTGTCATTCATTTCAAGGATTTTTTAAATTTCCAACTTTCTTTCTTTTTTTTTTTTTTTGGAGTTGGAGTCTCACTCTGTCGCCCAGACTGGAGGGCAGTGGCCGCTCCCGGCCACCGCAGCCTCGACCTGCTGGGTTCCGGCAATCCTTCTGCCTCAGCCTTCTGAGTAGCCGGAATTACAGGCGTGTGCTACCACGCCCGGCTAATTTTTTAAATTTATCGTAGAGATGAGGTCTCGCCTGCCCAGGTGGGTCACGAACCCGTGGGCTCAGGCAATCCACTCACCTCAACCTCCCAAAGGCGCGGGATTACAGGCTGAGCCACCGAGCCCGGCTCCAACTTTAGTTCATTGTTGACCCAAGGGTCGTTCAGAAGTAAATTGTTTAACTTCCATATCTTTGTTTTGTTCACGAGTCCTTGGAGTTTATTTCTCGTTTTAATCTACTGTGGTCTGAGGTGGTGCTTGATATGATTTTGATTTTTTAAAATTTATTGAGACTTGATTTGTGGCCTATCATATGGTCTATCTTATGTTCCGTGTGCTGATGAGAAAAATGTGTGTTCTGTAGTTTTGGAATAGAATGTTCTGTAGATGTCTGTTAATTGCATTTGCTCTAGAGTTTTGTTTAACTTCAAAGTTTCTTTGCTGATTTTCAGCCTCTATCTGTCTGTTGCTGTCAATGGAATGTTGAAATATCCCAGTAGTATTGTATTGCTAGCTATGACTTTTTTTTAGATCTAGTAGATTTTTTTCTTATAAAGCTGGGAGCTCTGTTGTTAGGCATATGTATATTTAAAATTGTTACGTCTTCTCTTTGGATCGACTTCATTATCATTGTATTATAGCTGTCTTTGTTTTTAATATTGTTAATTTAAAGCCTGTTTTACCTGATATGAGATTGTTTACTCCTGTCCTTTTTTGGTTTCCATGTGTTTGGAATATTTTTCCCCATCCCGTTACCTTGAGTCTGTAGGAGTCCTTGTGAGTTAAGTGGGTCTCTTGAAGGCAGCAGAATTTGGATTGTGTGTTTTTATCCATTCTGCCAGTCTATATCTTTTTAGTGGGGCATTGACACCTTTTACGTTCAGAGTTAATGATATTTGAGGTACTATTGTATTCTTCATACTGGTCGTTACCTGGTTACTTTATTTCTTTTCTCTATTGTGTTGATGTTCTGTAAGTCCTGTGAGCTTTATGATCCAGCATTTTTCTACTGGTATATTTCGACCTTTTGTTTTGATATTTAGGACTCTTGAATATTTCTTGTAGAGCTGGTGTAGTGGTGACAAATTCCCTCAGTTTTGCTTGTCTGTGAAGGACTTCACTTATGAAATTTAGTTTTGTGGGACACAAAATCTGTCGCTGACATTCTGTTTGAAGAGCTTGAAGATGGTTCCCACTCTCCTGGCTTGGGTTTCTTCTGAGAAGTCTGCTGTTAGTCTGGTAGGTTTAGCTTTGTAAGTTATTTGATGCTTTTGTCTCACTTCTTTTAAAATTCTTTCCTTCACATTAACTTTGTATAGCCTGCTGATTATATGCCTCGGGATGACCTCTTTGCGATGAGTCTTTGGGGTTTCTTTGAGCTTCTTGTAGCTAGATGTTTAGATCTCTGCCAAGACCAGGAAAATTTTCTTCTGTTATTCTGTCAAATAGGTTTTCTCTTCTTCCTCAGCAACACCTATGATTCTTAGGTTTGGATGTTTTACATAATCCCATATTTCTTGGGGACTTTGTTACATTCTCTTGATTCTTTTTTCTTTGTTATTCTCTGAGTTAATTCAAAAGCTTGTCTTCAAGGTCTGAGATCCTTTCTTCTGCTTGTTCTAGTCTACTGTTAAAACACTGCATTCTGTACTTCCTAAAATACTTCTTTCATTTCCTGAATTTCAAGGGTTTTTTTTCTTTTTCTTAAAGTATCATAGTTTTGGGGAATTTTTCATCTGTGTCCTGATTAGTTTTTAAAAATTCTTTTATGTTGGTTTTCAACTTTCTCCTGAAGTTCATTCACCAGCTTTATCATCAACCTTTAAATTATGTGTCTGGATTTCAGCAATTTCATTTTGCTTAGGGTTCGTTGCTGAAGAGTTGCTGTGGTCTTTTGAGGACATTGGAGAACTCTTGTTTTTTCATATTATCAGAATTATTCTTCTGTTTCCTTCTCATTTGGGTAGACGATTTCTTCTTACTTGAGGTGGGCAGGGAGCTGATGTAGGCACTGTGAGGTTCTCTTGGTTATATACAGCCTCGGCGTGGTGAGTTTCTCAATTTCCAGCTGTGGCAGCTTTGTGCTGTGTACCTGCACTGGCTCACGGCATCCAAGATGACTAGGGTGGCTTGGAAAGTATTGGCCAGCGCTTGGAACCTGGCTTTCCCTAAAGCTGAGGTATTGTATCCCATGTGGTGGACTGTACTGCTGACCTCTAGCCAGGAGGTGGCACTTGTGGGAGAAGCCGACTACCATAGTGGCTGCAGGGTTTGTCCTTAGCCATTGATGCTTGGAGGAAGTGCCCAGCCAGCCCGGGCCAAGTGCAGGGCTCTGGGATTTCCCATGTTTTCTGTCTGTTTTGAGCCTTCTGGGGTGTTGCAGGGGAAAGGAGATGAGGCACCCTGCACATGTGCATTCCAGCTGACTAGTAGGGCTTAGAAGGGTGTCCCAGGCCACTTAGTCATTGTCTTTTCTTTTTTTTTTTTTGAGTTGGAGTCTCACTCTCTCGCCCAGATGGATGGAGTGCAGTGGCCACTGCAGCCTCAACCTGCTGGGCTCTGGCGATCCTTCCTCCTCAGCCTTCCAAGAAGCTGGAACTACAAGCGCGCGCTACCATGCCCAGCTAATTTTTTAATTTATTGTAGAGATGAGGTCTCACCAAGTTGCCCAGGTGGGTCTTGAACCCGCAGGCTCAGGCGATCCACTCACCTCAGCCTCCCAAAGGCGCGGAATTACAGGCTGAGCCACCGAGCCCGGCTATTGTCCTTTTTTTTGAGTCAGGATCTCTCACTCTGTTGCTGAGGCTACTCTACCTTCTGGGCTCAAGTGATCCTTTGTCTCAGCCTCCCAAGTAGCTGGGACTACAGGCACATGCCACCACATCTGGCTAATTTTTTATTTTTTATTTTTTTTGTACAGACAGATGGGGTCTTTGTGTTGTCCAGGCTGTTCTCGAAAAATTACAGGCATGCGCCACCATGCCTGACCTGTTATCATTTTTGATGCTTGTCTTTGCTTATAAATGTCTGTTTCTATTTTGGATTGTAGAATTTTTCCTTGGGAAATTTGTATTCTTTTAATACTGCTAAATTAAATGTAATGAATAAAGCATTTTATTTGTCTGCTAATTACTCTACATATTTTTGTCCAGTGTTAGGTAGGTTTTTTTTTTTCTTTTATTTTGAGTCAAGGTCTCACTCTTGCTGAGGCTGGAGTTCAGTGGCACACTCACGGCCTCACTGGGCTCAGGCAGTCCTTTTGCCTCAGCCCCCTGAGTAGTTGAGGCACTGTGGGTGTGCACCATTATGCCTAGTTAATTTTTAAAATTTTTTTAATTTTAATTTTTTTTTTGAGTTGGAGTCTCACTCTGTTGCCCAGACTGGAGTGCACTGGCCGCTCCCGGCCACCACAGCCTCGACCTGCTGGGCTCCGGCGATCCTTCCGCCTCAGCCTTCCGAGTAGCCGGAATTATAGGCGTGCGCTACCATGCCCGGCTAATTTTTTGATTTATTGTAGAGATGAGGTCTCGCCTGCCCAGGCGGGTCTCAAACCCACGGACTCAGGCATTCCACTCACCTCAGCCTCCCAAAGGCGCAGGATTACAGGCTGAGCCACAGAGCCCGGCTAATTTTTTTATTCTTACATAGAGATGGGGATCACATGTTGATGGGCTCTTGAACTCCTGGGCTCAAGTGATCTTCCCACCTCAGCCTCCTAAAGTGCTGGGGTTACAGGCATGAGCCGCCGTGCCCAGCCATTTTGTCCATTTTTTGATTTTGCTTTTAATTAGGGAAAGGAAAGGGTAAAGGGTTTGAGTTGTTTGAACTGTGAGGAAAAAATGGTTCTCATATTTTTTCTGCCTTTTCATCTTTTTAAAACAAATCTCTTTATTATCCTCAGATCATAGGTATATTGAACTATTCCTGAATTCATGTCCAAAAGGAAAATAAGCCTTCCTGGGGTTCCAGATGGTAAGGTAAATTTAAGAGGTTCAACCTTGGAAATTATTTTCAGTTGATAAATTAATCATCATCAACTCACTAGTTTGCAATATGGTAGAAACCATTTTTTTTTTTTTTTTTTTGAGTTGGAGTCTCACTCTGTTGTCTAGGCTGGAGTGGACACTCATGGCCACCACAGCCTCGACCTGCTGGGCTCAAGTGATCCTTCCATCTCAGCCTTCCAGGTAGCTGGAACTACAGGCATGTGCCACCATGCCTGGCTACTTTTTTTTTTATTTATTGTAGAGATGAGGTCTCATTAAGTTGACCAGGCTGGTCTCGAACCTGTGGACTCAGGCAGTCCTCTCACCTTGCCCTCCCAAAGTGCTGGGATTATAGATGTGAGCCACACTGCATCTGGCCCATTCTTTTTTAAAGTAAAGATTAAACTAATCATGATAATCAAAACATTAATATAAGGAGTGAAACTTCTGTGAAATAGAATTTATTAGGATTGTATAGTATTTTTGAGCATTAGCCATATACAGACTTAAAAAAATTTTTTTTAATTATTTTTAATTTTGAAGATGTGGGGTACAATTCAGGGTTAGGTATACAGATGTTCATTATGCAGGTATATACAGACTTTTTATGCACATTTTCCAGCACTCATGCTATGTGCCTAAAAATAATTTTACAGCTACCTTTAATGTAGGTATAAATCGTGATACCTTGAAAATGTTTCTTGTATTAGTTTTCCTTAAACACATTTTTTCAGTTTTAAGATTTTTTAAAAAGAAAGCAGGATTTACTGAGAGGACAGAAAAGCTTCCACAGTGGGAGGGGACCCCAGGGGGTTGCCCTTAAGATATTTTTTAAAGGATACATTTAGGCTGGGCATGGTGGCTCAGACCTATAATCCCAGCACTTTGGGAGGCCTAGGTGAGAGGCTTGCCTGAGCTCATGGGTTCCAGACCAGCCAGTGCAACTTGGTGAGACCTCATCTCTACAATAAAATAAAAAATTAACCAGGCGTGGTGGCTCTCGCCTGTAGTTCCAGCTATTTGGAAGGCTGAGGAGGAAGGATCACGTGAACCCAGCAGGTTGAGGCTGCAGTGGCTGTGAGCGTGCCACTGCACTCCAGCCTGGGTAACGTAGTGAGACTCCAACTCAAAAAGGATACATTTGTAACCAGGGTATATCACTCATGTACACAGATAATGTGCCACTGTTTCCTTTTCCTGAAATGGTGTCATGAAAATAACTTTTTGTTTAGGAAATATATTTTTTATTTTTTGAGTTGGGGTCTCACAGTGTTGGCCAGGCTTGAGTGCAGTGACATGATCATAGCTCACTGTGGCTTTGACCTCCTGTGTTCAGGTGATTCTTCTGACTCAGCCTCCTGAGTAGCTGGGACTGCAGGCATGCACCACCACACCTGGCTAATTTAAAAAAATTTTTTTGAAGACATGAGGTCTTGACACGTTGCCTAGGCTGTTTTGAACTCCTGAGCTCAAGCAGTCCTCCTGCCTTAGCCTCCTAAAGTTCTGGGATTGCGGGCATGAGCCATTGCACCTGGCCAAGAAGTATATGATTTTATAGTATTACCTTTCTTTGATGGATTTGCTTAATATGTCTTGATGTCCCTTCTCTCGACTAAATACATGGTGTCTTTTTCCCCCATAAAGTATTTTAATTATTATTGCAATCATTTTTCTTCATGTAACAGTGTGTACTTTTGAGACACTTAAGTGTAATGATTTCTTTAATACATGTGGGACATTCTGTTACCATAGGTGTCATAGGCTATTTTTGAACAAAGTTCCCCAATTCTGTGATGTTAAATATTTATGTTAGCTAAAATCTATGTAAAATATATTCTGTGCTCAATTCTGAAAATCTATCTATGTCAATCTGTGAACACTAGTGCCTTACTAATTTTCCTCATTTTTAAATTTTAAATGGCATGGGAACAAGTGCTTTCATTTTAATAAATGCAACTTTTTTTGTTTTATTTTCAGGGTGAAGCAAGAAGCATTTCATTTGCACATCTTTCTTGAACATGGGATGTAAAGTTCTAGTTTATTAGCAGCAACTGCTAGAGAAAGGACTGGTATTTTGGGTTATTTGCTTCTGAAAAAATTTCATAGTGGACTGTTTAAAAAGGAAAGATTCAGTTTAGGATTATTAAATGATTGAACTACAAATTAAAATTTTTGTTTAAACTATCCAGTATCTGATATAAAAATATGGTCTTTGTATGATTAAGCAGTTTGTTTTCATAGAAGATATATTACCCATTGTAAAGACTACATATTTTTATTCACTGTTCTTTAAAAATCTTTCTCCCATTTAAAAAATGATCTGTTCAAGGGTTTTGTTATTTTTGCCTGTGAATTGAGAGCTCTGATGTAAACCTTCTCATAGAGTAAAATAATGATTTATTTTACCCAAACACTCACCAAAGCAAAAAAAAAAAAAAGATTCCAGACCTTTGAACCAGTATGGTTTGGCAGAATAGTTTTAAATTTATCTGTATTTGATTACTTAGCTAGAGATAGAATTGAAAAAAAAGATCAAAACAAAAAATATCACAGGTTAGTGAGTATAAATGACAACAGTTTGGTGGTTTTATGTCTTTAGAAATGTTCTGCCTTTATAAGCTTTGTGCTGAAGGCATTTAACTTTGGTGCCTGTCTGCTTAAGGGGGCATTCTAGTCTTAACTTAAAAGTTGTCTGAACCGTCCCTCTCCTCCTTTTTTGGTTTTGGGTAAACTTTAACTGTGTTCGTTAGTCTCAAAACTGTGAAGTGACATGTTAGAACAGTCCTGACTGGTGAGGACATTAATGGCTTCACTTGAATTTAAACCAGCTCTAGATAGGAAAAAAGTCTGTCTCCTCATTTGCTTTTTCAATGGGGTAGCACATCCCATATTTTAGAACAAGTAGGGGTGCCTTGCTTAAATAAAAATAGCATTTAATGTATAATTATGTGAAGGGTTTATGGATAAAGCTGTACTTCTGTCACACTGTGGCAGTACATTCTGCTTTAATATTAAACAGCTTGTTATTTAAATATTGGATTAAATGGCTGGCTTCAAAATGTAGTCATTAATAAACTAACTTTATGTGCACCTGTGTAGGAGAATCAAAGTCCTGTATACTTTCTTTGCCTTGTTCCTGTTCTCAGGGTGACGACGGCCACCAGGAGATGCAATTCTAGTTCTTAAAATTAAATGTGCCCAGATTTCTGAGAGGTGATATCTGAAAGAGAGATTATGTCTTCTCTCACTTAATACATAGTATCTTTGATTACCAGCTAAGATATGAAATCACTGTACTGTAAGTAGTCAATAAATGAAGGCTTGTTTCAGGCTGAAGATTACTTAAGAGTATTTATTATTGGAGTGTGTGAATCAACTGAATATATTTTATTACATGAATTCCTTCTATATTAATATATGAAGAAATGGTTAATTTTCAGTTGTGTTTTTCAATCGTTCTGTAAGAACATGACTTAATCAACCAACTCAAACCTCTCCAGTACTACTACTTAGATGGAAATGCATTTTCTTTTCTTTTCTTTCTTTTTTCTTTTTAAAGAGTTGGAGTCTCACTCTGTCGCCCAGGCTGGAGGGCAGTGGCACCCTCCCGGCCACCGCAGCCTCAACCTGTTGGGCTCCAGTGATCCTTCCGCCTCAGCCTTCCAAGTAGCTGGAACAATAGGCACATGCTACCATGCCCGGCTAATTTTTGATTTATTGTAGAGACAAGGTCTCACAAAGTTGCCCGGGCGTGTTTCGAAGTTGCCTGGGCAGGTCTCGAACCCAGCGACTCAGGCAATCCACTCACCTCGGCCCCCCAAAGTGCTGGAATTACAGGCTGAGCCACCGAGCCTGGCCGAAATGCATTTTCATGTGTGGTTGAATGTACCCAGCTGTAAGGACTGGTGTCTTCAGTGGTACAGTCTGACAGAGTGTGATCATATTTTTCCTCTTCCTTTAGTGATGGTATCTAATTTGCTGGAGAAAAGACTTGTGGGGTCTACTGTGATTGGTGTAGTAAGGAATTTGTTCATTTGCAATAACTTTATGTTTATTTTTTTGAGTTGGAGTCTCACTGTCACCCAGGCTGGAGTGCAGTGACATGCTCAAGGCCACCACAGCCTCACCCTGCTGGGCTCAGGCAATCCTTCCTCCTTAGCCTTCCAAGTAGCCGGAACTACAGCTGTGTGCTACCATGCCCAGCTAATTTTTTGATTTATTGTGGAGATGAGGTCTCACCAAGTTGTCCAAGTGGGTCTTGAACCCGCAGCCTCAGGCAATCCACTTGCCTTGGCCTCCCAAAGTGCTGGGATTATAGGCTGAGTCACTGAGTCTGGCTGAATCTTTATTTCTATTCAAACAAAGGACATATTTCTCTCTCCCCAGACTTTAACAAAACTGGGTTGTGCATCATTCTTTGTTATTGAAGGAAGCAATGGCGGTGACTTTCTCTCATCTGCTTGGGTTCCTTATGTCTTTTTAATCTCTTGTGGTCAAGCTATCAAGAAGAGTGGATTCTTGGGATATATGGTCAGGGTGCTCATTTCTTGCTTTGACCTAGCTACTTCTCAAGGAACTGTAAGGGAGAACGCTGAGAGTAGTGTTTTAATACCAAGGAGAAAATTGCTGAAGATTGTAATACAATCAGAATACACACTGATACCAGAGGATGTAGCAGAACCAGAGTGTTTGTCCTTCTATGCCTGGGTGACTGAAGCTACTGTGTGGGAAGGGAGACTGTGTTTGCTCTGGGTGGAAGGCTCTAAATCCTTCTCACTACTACCGTAGTATTGGAAAGAAGAAACCCAAGAAAGCCACTCCCATGAAGGTGACTGTGTATACAGTGACCCTGCTGACTATTAGCCAACATGCTCTATATCCTTTGTCTTAAATAGTCCTTATTTGATTCGCATGTGGAGATTTATTGTTCTCTGGGTTACATCCCGATCGTTTTATTATTTAAGTAAAACACTCCATTGTTCTGGAAGTTTCCCCCAAGCTACATGACGACACTCACATTTAATTGGTAGGACCTTTATTATAGAGTAGAAATAGTCTATCTCAGCTATAAAGTAGAGGCAGTTCCAAGTTTTAGGGGCTTTTACAAAATCACATTGCTTTAATGTAGTAACGTTTCTTCCCCTGAGTTTAGCAGATTAGAAAATAATCTCTGAAGTTTGTAGGAAGGAAATACAGCTGCTCTATACATTCACGTGCAGGTTTTGGTGTGGACATGTCTAATTCCTTTGGGTAAATTTTAAGAAATTCAATTGTGGGATTGTAGAAGAGTATGTTTCAAGCTGTCTCACAGCGTGACTATTTTGCATTCTCACCAGCAATGAATGAGAGTTCTGTAGCTCTTCATTCTCATCAGCATTTTATTTTTTTGAGTCGGTGTCTCACTCTGTCACCCAGGTTGGAGTGTAGTGGCATGCTCATGGCCACCATAGCCTTGACCTGCTGTGCTCAGGTGATCCTTCCACCTCAGCCTTCCAAGTAGCTGGAACCACAGGCATGTGCCACCATGCCTGGCTAATTTTTCGATTTATTGTAGAGATCTTGCCAAGTTGCCCAGGCTGGTCTCCAACCCGTGGGCTCAGGCAATCCTCTCACCTCAGCCTCCCAAAGTGCTAGGATTATAGGTGTGAGCCACCGGGCCTGGCTTCACCAGCATTGATGATGTTACTGTTCTGGACTTTAGCTATTACAGAGGTGTGTGGTGGTCTCATATTTTCAATTTTGTGATGACAGATGTGGAGCATCTTTTCACGTAATGATTTATATCATCTTCAGTGAGAGGACGGTTCAGATTTTTTGCCCAATTTTCTAGGGTGGTTTTCTTACTAAGATTTGGAAGAGGCATATAGGAAAGTTTAGTCTAGTCAGCCTTGATATGAAAATGAAGAGTAGACTAATTTTTAAATTGTTGAGATTTTAATTTTGAAGGAAATAAATTTCAAGAGATAACAAAGGACGTACAGCGAATGTTCTCCTTTGCACCCTGTACTTCAGCTCCATTGTTCCTCTCCTCAGGTAGCCATGTCATCAGTCCCTAATGTAAATTCCCAGTGACTTTTACTGTATAAATAAGCAACTAAGAACAGACATTTTCATTTCTTCTTAAATTATAAATTATACTATACATACTGTTCTGTATTTCCTTTTTCTACTTAAAGATCATTTTTTTTATTTTTTGAGTTGGAGTCTCACTCTGTTGCAGGCTGGAGTGTATCACTGCACTCATGGCTACTGCAGCCTCAACCTGCTGGGTTCAGGTGGTCCTTCCACTTCAGTCTTCCAAGTAGCTGGAACTACAGGTGCGTGATACCACCCCTGGCTTTTTTTTTTTTTTTTTTTTGTAGAGACAAGGTCTCACCAAGTTGCTCAGGCTGGTCTTGAACCCCTGATTGCTCAGGCAATCACTCTCGCCTCTGCCTTCTGAAGTGCTGGGATTGCAGGCTTGAGCCTCCATGCCTGGCTGTAAAGATCATTTTATATTAGCATATAAGATCTTTCCTCATCCCTTTTTAATGATTGTGTAGTGTGGTTGTATGTGATTTAACCTGTCAGTACTGATGAACCATGTAAGTTGCTTCCAACGTTTTTGCTTTTACAATGCAGAAACGAAATATCTGTATAAACTTATGTCATTTTGTATGTACATACATTTCTCTGTAGGATAAAGGGGAAGCTCATGGGCACTTGTAATTTACATCTAAAGTTAAATTTATACTGAGGTGTTATTTCATAATTTGCACCAGCAGTGCAAGTGCCATGTCCCCATAGCCTCCCCAGCCCAGCGATCTGTTACCAATCTGACAGATTAGAAAATACCCACACAAAGCAAAACGATGGTATTCTCTGAAGATCAGCCTTTCATTGTTTTAGAGAGTATCCGGAGTTCCTTTCTATGTCCTGTCTTCATGTTTTCATCCCCATTTTCCTTTTTCTCAGAAAAACCCTTAGTGCAGGAAATTTCAAACATAGAAAAATAGAACAATAGACATCCCACATAGCCATCAATTAAGTTTATGATCAGCCTTTTTGCATCTATAATCCTCATCCACTTTTCCTCATTAATTTTTTTTTTTTTTTTTTTTGGAGATGGAGTCTCATTCTTGTCTCCCAGGCTGGAGTGCAGTGGCACGCTCAGGGCCATCACAACCACGATCTGCTGGGCTCCGGCGATCCTTCTACCTCAGCCTTCCAAGTAGCTGGAGCTACACATCACCATGAGTGACTAGGTTTTTTGTGATTTATTGTAGAGACAAGGTCTCACCACGTTGTTCCGGCTAGTCTCGAACCCCTAGCCTCAGGTAATCCTCTCACCTCGGCCTCCCAAAGTGCTGGGATTACAGGCTGAGCCACCATGCCAGACCTCATTAATTTTAATGCCCCCCCCCTTTTTATTTGAGTCAGAGTCTCACTCTGTCACCCAGGCTGGAATGTAGTGGCATGCTCACTGCCACTGCAGCCTTGACGTGCTAGGTGCAGGCGATCCTTCTGTGTCAGTCTTCCAAGTAACTGGAAACACAGGCGCGCACCAGCACACCCAGCTAAGCTTTTGATTTATTGTAGAGATGAGGCCTCTCCAAGTTGCCCAGGCGTCTCGAACCCCTGGGCTCAGGCAATCCTATCATCTTTGCTTTCCAAAGTGCTGGAATTACAGGCGTGAACCACCGCACTCGGCCCATCATTAATTTTAAAGGAAATCATAGGTGGCATTTCACCAGTGAACATCCAGTATGCAGCTCTTAAAAAAAAAAAGGGACTTAAAAAGTCATCATTCTTAATATTAGTTTCTAGTCACCAAATATCTAGTGATCTGAAATGTCATTTTATTTATTAATTTTTGAGTAAGAGTCTCACTCTGTCGCCCAGGCTAGAGAGCAGTGGCATGCTCACAGCCATTGCAGCTTTGATCTATTGGGCTCAGGTGATCCTTCTGCCTCAGCCTTTTAAGTAGCTGGAACCACAGACGCACGCCACCACAGCCAGCTAATTTCTTGATTTATTGTAGAGAGGAGGTCTCGCCAAGTTGCCCAGGCTGGTCTTAAACCAGTGGACTCAGGCAGTCACGCCCGGCAGTCTGTTAAAATTTAACTAATTTGCAGGAGACATTTGTTCCTATAGTGAGCTTTAAGTACTAATAGCTTTCCCCCGCAATTTGTCCTCTTTTTTTGCTCATCATGGCAGAAATTATTTTTACAAGCTTGAATTCTTAAATCTCTCCTTTTATGCTTTCTGGGTTTTGTGTCAGAATTAGGACATCTCGGGTAAATGATTATTTATTTATTTTGAGTCAGGATCTCCACTTTATTGCCCAGGCTGGAGTGCATGGCATTCTGATGGCTCACCATGACCTTGACCTGGGCTCAAGCAATCCTCCTGCCTCAGCCTCCTGAATAGCTGTGACTACAGATATCTGCCATCATACCTGACTAAGTTTTTGATTTTTTGCGGGGACAAGGTCTCACTATATTGCCTAGGCTGGTTTCAAATGCCTGGGTTTAAGCAATCCTTTCACCCTTACGTACCGAAGTGCCAGGATTATAGGCATGAGCTACCACGTGCAGCTGTGAAATGATTCTGAAAGCATATGGTGGTAAGGCATGAAGGTTTGCAACCAAGGTGGACTCTAGAATATGGATTGACTGCGGGGTGCAGTGGCTCACACCTGTAATCGCAGCACTTTGGGAGGTGGATATGAGAGGATTGCCTGAGCCCAGGGGTTTGAGACCAGCTGGGCAACATGGCAAGGCCTCATCTCTATGTTAAGTTAAAAAAATTAGCTGGGAGTGGTGGTGCATGGCTGTGGTTCCAGCTACTTGGAAGGCTTAGGCATAAGGATCGCCTGAGCCCAGCAAATGGAGACTGCAGTGACCGTGAGCGTGCCACTGCACTCCAGCCTAGGTGAGAGAGTGAGACTCCAACTCAAAAAAACAAGGAATGGTTCAATGACAGTCACAAGGCTCACCGAGGTATATTGAAGAATCTTAATTAGCCCACAGGCAAAACTTTCCAAGTCTATTCAAAGACAGGATTCTAAAATACCCTGTTCTAACTGAAATAAAAGAGGTTTTAACCTTGCCTTCTGCCACTTGGCAAAGTATCAGACATTCGGGAATACAGACCAAGACCCAGGGAGACTGAGTTACTGAAAATTTCAGATAGACTGGCTATTAATTCTGTTCATTTCTTTCTTTTTTTTTTGAGTTGGGAGTCTCACTCTGTTGCCCAGGCTGGAGTGCAGTGGCACGCTGCTCACGGCCATCGCAGTCTCGACCTGCTGGGCTCAGGCAATCCTTCCGCCTCAACCTTCCAAGTAGCTGGAACTACAGGTGTGTGCCACCACCCCCGGCTAACTTTTTGATTTATTGTGGAGACGAGGTCTCACCAAGTTGCCCAGGCTGGTCTTAAATCCTTGGGCTCAGGCAGTCCTCCTGCCTCAGCCTCCCAAAGTGCTGGGATTATAGGCTCGAGCCACCATGCCCGGCCAATTCCATTCATTTCTTCCTCAAGAAGTTGGGGAATACAAGCGATGTCATGCTAGTTTTTAACCTGCTCTGATTTATAAGACTATATTGTTTGTGGTAGACTTTGTAACTAAATATAAATGAAACGTTTGTGCCAGAAACGCTGTTATTACTGCTTTCGGGAGACTTGTACAGAGTTGTCGCTATCTGCCAACTGGAGGAAGTTACCTCTTCTTTACTGTGCTTAATTATTAAGACTTAGGAATCTGATATTCTCAGCAATGCTTTCCACTGCTTACTGATTTGAATTTTAAACCAGTTTTACATTTCGAGATAATACACTAAAGTTTGTGCCTTTTTATTTTTTATTTTTTTATACTAAGTATTTTATTGTATGCTGCTACCAGTGTATATAAAACAGTTACCCTTGTGAAATAGAAATTCATGAAAATTTAGAGAGGTAGATGTTCAAGACTGACAAAAGTAGAAGTTTGTGTATTATGGCACGTGAGTTGCAGTGATGAGCTTTTGTACAGGCTTCAAATTTTGCTCTCTTGAATATTCACTGGTTTGTCAGAAGTGGTTTGGGAAACCTTTGAAAGACTCCTTTTGCTACAAAAAGGAGCAGACTTTCTGGGGTCGAAGGGATTTGTACTTGAAGATACTCCAGTCAGCAGAGGGTCATGCTGAGCATTCTGCAGACAGAATTGTTTCAAGTCTGCAGCTGCCGGGGAAACTTTCACGAGGTTGAGCCCGGCCTCCAGCCGGAGCTGTTGAACCACTTTCTTCATGGCGGCGACACTGGAGGAGCCAGACATGGCGAGTGCAAGAGCCAGGCCTTGTGTGCCTTTTTATTCTTGGTGTAGAAATTGTGCTTGTCAGATACTTGGTTTCTGATTTGGTATACTGACTTACAGAAACCTCTCTACAAAAGTAATGAATGTGTTAACATTAAAATCAACCTGTCCTCAGAAATGTTGAGAATAAAATAGAAGACTTCAATAACAGGTCCCCAAACAGCTAATGTCTACAAGTCATTAAGATTTGACTTGGGGCCAGGCTCGGTGGTTCATGCCTGTAATCCTAGCACTTTGGGAGACTGAGGCAAAAGGATTGCTTGAGCCTAGAAGTTTGAGACAAAACAGGCTGGGCTTGGTGGCTCAGCCTGTAATTCCAGCACTTTGGGAGGCTGAGGAGAGTGGATTGCTTGAGCTTGCGGATTCGAGACAGCCTGGGCAACTTGGCGAGACCTCGTGTCTCTACAATAAAAAACAAAAAAATTAGTCGGGTGTGATAGTGCACACCTGTAGTTCCAGCTACTTGGAAGGCTGAGGCAGAAGGATCGCCAGAGCCTAGAAGGTCAAGGCTGCAGTGACCGGGAGCAGCCACTGCACTCCAGTCTGGGCGACAGAGTGAGACTCCAGCTCAAAAAAAAAAATTCGCAAACGCATCCTAGGAAAAGTGCTAATGCCTCACTGCTTAATGTCACTATGGTCACCTTCGAAGTACTCCCCTTGGGAAGCAATGCACCAATGCCAGCGTCTAGCCCACCCATCAAAGCAACTTTGGAATTGTTTTTCCATCAGAGTTTTCCAAAAGCGTTTCCATCAGGGCTGTCGTATTACTCTTGGTGTTCTGAATGTCATCAATTGTCTTCTTTTCAATATTTCCTTTATTTTCGGGTTAAAAAAAAGTCATTGGGGACCAGATCAGGTGTGTAGGAAGGCTGTTCCAATACAGTTATTTGCTTATTGGCTAAAAAACTCCCTCACAGACAGGACTGTGTGAGCTGGTGCATTGCCGTGATGTAAGACCTCCTTCGGGACCATTTTTGCACAACTTTCTCATGCCAAGATTTTCAGTTAAGATGTTCCTGGTTTTCTATCGATGTTTATTTGGTCTGCTAGGCTTCTCAGTTCAGCTGATGATTTTGACGCACAATTTGAATTTTTGCCAAGTTTTCGTCTGTTCTGTTTATTACTGGTTGTCTTGACCTCTCTTCATCAGTGACGCTTTCTCCTCAGAAAAACATTTCATGCATTCGTACATGGCCATTTTCTTCATGGCATTATCCCCATAAACCTGGACTAACGTGTCCCTGATTTCACTTCCATGCTTGCCAAGTTTAACAAGAAATTTCATGTTTGTTCATTGCTCTAATTCAAGCTCTGACCTTCTTATGGCGGCACAAAAAATATGCAACAATAATAAATGTCACAGAGCAAGACACTGCCACACGTCGACATGAACACAGCTGTGAGACTCTGGCATACCAAGGTTAGGAAACCCTACCAAGATGTTTGTACAGTGCTGCCAATGTAAGTGCACAGTGGCAAGTTCGTGAACTAAATTGTCAGAACCCGTATGCGCCTCATCCATTTCACCTATTGTTGGTTTCTTACTACAAGACATTTAATTACAGCTAAGGAAGTAACTCTGGTACTATTTACATTCCACACTTGAGATGTTTAGTTTTTCCCTTTTCATTCCACGATTCCACATTTAGTCGTCATGGCTCCTTAATCTCCTCAGGTGCTTTTGATGATCTCATTCTCACACTTTTCCCCCCACATGAGACAGGTAATGTGCTGATGTCATAACAAGTTTTCAGGGAGGCGCATCTCACACTTAGTGTGAACACCCAACCATCATGCATATGCACTCCAAAAGGATCTCTCAGACTTGTTTTTGATGATGGTGACCGTTTTAAGGAGTACTGGTTGGTTTGGTAGAATGTCCCTCAAGTGGAGTTTTCTGATATTCTTCTGGTTAGCCCGGGGTGAAGGGTTTTTGGGAGGAAGGATCACAAAGAGGTATTCTCATGACATTCAGTGTCCGTGTTATCGATGTCTTATCACTGATGGTATCAATTTTGATCACCTAGCTAAGATGCTTGCCAGGTTAATGCGGTTTTCCCCCTCTTTACACACTCTCTTAAAGCAAGTCACTAAATACAACCCATATTCAAGAGGTGGGGAGTTCAGCTCTATATCCGCAAAGGGGGCAGTTATCTATATAAATTATTTGGAATTTCTCTGTATAGGAGATAGGCCATCTCTCTCATTTATTTGGCTATTTTCACCAATATGGACTCAGAGATACATGCCTACTTTGGATTATAATCCTGTACTGCTTTATTTACTTTGTTGCTGAGATGATTTCATCTTTGGCTATTGGGAGTTCTTTAAGTCAACTCCCGTGTCCCTTTGACACGCTGCATCCTTTTGTATGTAGAACACGCACTTCTTTCTGGCCTTACAAGATGCCCCAGACCTAGTATCAGCCATTTCTCCAAAAAGCCCTGATTCCTTTTATTGGAAAATTGGACTAGGAAAAATCTGGGCACTGGGTGTGCTCATTGCTACCGAGTGTCTGCTGCTAGGCCCTTGCAGTGATCAGAGCTATTATGTATGTGTAATAACCCAAATGTACATACAAATCTGTAACTACTTTATTCTTCTGGAAAGCACAGTTTTTAAAAACTGGTAAACAGTACATACACTTTACTGTTTCAACCATTTTAAAGTGCACAGTGCCACAGCACTGAATATATTAACATTGTTGTGCAAACTTCACCACCATCTGTCCCCCAAAACCGTGATCTTCTCCAGTGGAAACTGTACCTATTAAATATTCCGTTCTTCCCTAAGCCCCTGGAAACTACCAGTCTACTTTTTGCCTGTGTGCTTTTGACTCCTCTGGGTTCTTCATGTAAGTGGAGCCATGCAATGTTTGTCCTCCTGTGATTGGCTTATTTCACTTAACAGTGTCCTCAAGGTTCCTCCATGTTGTGGCATGTGTCAGGTTGGTAAGGCTGAATAATATCTCTGCCATGCATGCACCACACCTGGGTTGCTTTCACCTTTTGGCTAAAGTGTGAAAAATACTGTCATAAACATGGATGTACAAATATCTGTAGGAGTTCCTGCTTGCTTTTTGTTTTTTTTTTTGAGTTAGAGTCTTACTCTGTCACCCAGGCTGGAGTGCAGTGACACTCTTGGCCACCCCAGCGTCGAACTGCTGGGCTTAGGTGATCCTTCCACCTCAACCTTTCAAGTAGGCTGGGTGCCATGGCTCAAGTCTATAATCCCAGCACTTTGGGAGGCCGAAGTGAGAGGATTGCCTGAGCCCACGGGCAACCAGCCTATTTGGAAGGTTGAGGTGGAAGGATCACCTGAGCTCAGCAGGTCGAGGCTGCAGTGGCTGGGAACGTGCCACTGCCATCCGGTCGGTGACAGAGTGAGACTCCTACTCAAAACAAAACCAAAAACCTTCCAAGTTGCTGGAACTACAGGCACATGCCACCACACCCGGCTAACTTTTTTGATTTATTGTAGAGATGAGGTCTCTCCAGGTTGCTCGGGCTGGTCTCGAACCCTGGGCTCAGGCAATCGTCTCACCTCAGCCTCCCAAAGTGCTGGAATTACAGGCAGAATCACTGAGCTCGGCTGCTTTCAATTCTTTCGGGCATATACCCAGAAATGGACTTGCTGGGTCATGTAGTAATTGTTAATTTTTAGAAATCACCATAGCTGCTATGCCACGGAACCACATTGGTTCCAATGTCTCCACATCCTCGCCAACACTTGATTTCCTGCTTTTTTTTTTTTTTTTTTGAGGTGGAGTCTCATTCTACCACCCAGGTTGGAGTGCAGTGGCAAACTCATGGCCACCTAGCCTTGATTTGTTGTGCTCAGGCAGTCCTTCTGCCTCAGCCTTCCAAGTAGCTGGAACCACAGGCATGTGCCACCATGCCCAGCTCATTTTTTGATTTATGCCATGTTGCTCAGGAAGGTCTTGACCCCCTGAACTCAGGCAAGTCTCTAGCCTCTGCTTCTCAAAGTGCTGGGATTACAGGCGTGAGCCACTGCACCCCACTTGATTTTCTGCTTTTTTGATAACAGTCATTTTAATGACTGTAAAGTGCTATCTCATGGTGGTTTTGAATTGTACAATTCCTTTATGATTAGTGACATTAAGTTTTTCATGCACTCATTGGACATTTATATATCTTCTTGCAACAAATGTCTATTCAAGTACTTTGCCCATTTTTTCCATCAATTTTTTTTGGTTATTATTGAATTGTAGGATTTCTTTATATATTCTGGATAGCAAAGCATATATATGATGTGCAAACATTTTCTCCCATTCCATGGGCTGCTTTTTCACTCTGCTGATAGTGTTGGTGTTCTAAATTTTGCTGAAGTTCAACCTAATTTTTTCTTTCATTACCTGTTTTGGTGTCATATCCAAGAAATTATTGGCAAATCCAGTGTCATGGAACTTTTCCTGTATGTTCCAACAGTTTTGTAGTTCTAACCTTTCTGCCCCCCCCCCTCCAATTCCTGGCAGGAGCTTCTATTTTTAGATTTTTGACTCATTTTAATGTTTGTTTATGGTGTAAGTGTCCAACTTCATTTTTTTGCATATGGGTATCCCACTTTCTCAATGCCATTTGTTGAAAAAAACCATTCTTTCCCCACCTAATGGTCTTGGCACCCTTGGCAAAAACCATCTGACCATATATATGAGGACTTATTTCTAGGTTCTTTACTCTGTCCCACTGGTTTATACAAGTATGTTCGTCTTAATGCCACTACTGTACTGTTTTGTTTACTGCAGCTTGTATTAAGTTTTGAAATTAAGAAGCATGAGTGCTCCACTTTTGTTATTTTGTAAGATTGTTGTGACTATCTGGGGGTCCCTTGAGATTCTGTATAAAGTGTAGGATAGATTTTTCTATTTCTGCAGAAAATTTGGAATTTTTATATGGATTGCATTGAAACTATAGATCGCTTTGGGTAGTACTGACATCTTAATGTTAAGTCTTCCT